GCTGGAACCGCTGGACGGTCAACGCAGCGTCATAACGTATATTTACATGTTACGCATAACGTATATGTATGTTAACAGTTATGTGTCTTAACGTAATCAATGTTCATAACGTATTTGCGCGGTAAGCAACATAACGTATATTTACGTTATGCATCGTGTCTATAACGTGCATATGTTGATGCGAAAATATAGTTAGGTATGTTTTATAATACCCATATATTCTTATCTTGATATAAATATTTATTTTCTAATGCGAATATTTGTGTTCTTCGTCATATTTGCATATAATCTTTTTGTCATAAATGGCGTTCCATATGCATCCGTAATGAAAGACGAAAAAATTGTGAAGAATCAATATGGCAGTCGCAAAGTGCCCTTGTTTGACCTTTAACAATGCCATGTTTAATAGAGGCCAAGATCTCATTGGTTCCTAATCATCCAATTCATAGTACCTTCAACCTTATGGGCTCCTGCAACAAACATCCGAACATACAAAGCCACAAAGTCCCAAAGAACACCGCGGCAAAACGTCTACGCATGCGCCAGGTTGGGCATTTCCGGTCCCTTTTTCAGTCACACTTTCCAGTCAGATCCAAGTCTCCCGCGCGCTCTTGGCTTCATTCTGTGTGCAGCTTGTGGTGCAGTTGTTCTGCTTCATGCTGCTCGTGTTTTTGACTATTTTGTAGTTATTGAAATTGCTTTTACGGATAACCAGGCACAGATCACTGAAGCAATTAGTCGATTAGATTCAGAAAAGGTAAGATGATAATAACTCAGTGTGTAATTTTGGCTAGAGCGTCAGGTAAACTGATTTTCATTCACGAAAACAAAGTTTTTGACTGTTATTTTTCACTTAACCTGGCTGAAACTAAGACATAAAAAGGTATCATTGCAAGCTTGTGTATTGTAGTTCTAATTTTCAGTTCTTCAGTTTCTCAGTCTTCGTGTCTTAAAGCCGATTCGAGCTTTATATGGAAAACGACAACACACAATCGCCTTGTAGTTTTATTTACCAGTGAGTTTTACCGTGTTTTGAAAGGAAACTCTTCTGAGTTGATTGCCATGAAACATAAGCTTAATTACACTGTTGAGGTTGGCAGCAAGTTGACAACTCTATTTAGTTTTTTCATTCTCAGAATCAGAGAGCGAAAGCTGGTTCGATGGCTTTTAGAAGTCGAACTTTTCATGCCATGTATTTAGCAGTTGGAAGTTTCGTGTTTGCATGAGATGCAGCCGAACCGCACAGTCTGAAATCATTGAAGCCTTCAACCAAAGAACAACCATGTAAGAGAATTAAATGGGCATTTTCTTGAATGAAAGTCATTTACAGGCAGGCATGTTTAGTTTCCCAGCACTGAAAACTCCAGGTGTTCGTGACTGCAGTCATCAAAGTCGAAGTTGTTATTAAATCCCGCCCATCTTTTGTTTTGAGTTCTTGTTTTCTCTGATAATAAAAAAATTATTGAAGGGACTAAGATTTTATTTCCTGGTTTTAGTGTTAATGATAATGATGACGTCTTTATTTTGGTTTCTTTCATATGTATTGTTATTCTTTTCTTAGTTATCCCCTTCTCCCAAATTAACTTATGCCAAACCAGTAGCATGCAAGAAAGCCAGTGAAAACAAATTCGTCATGTCGAGCGCTCGCGACCTGTAAACTTCAAACATCATTTTCACCTTTGGTGCAAACAGATAACCATGTGGTGCAAAAGTTTGACACTAGAAAAATATATAAGCTTTCGAATGAAGTGATTTTTTTCGCTCCCTTTTTTGTCTGTTTCTCCCTTTTTGCTTTTAAACTTGGTGCGACGTCAATTACTAGACCGGAAATAAAAAGCTGACCGGATGTGAAATTTTGTGCTCATGCGCAGTGCGTTTTGCCGCGGTGTTGGGCCACTTGACCCGAAACGTATCGGCCGCGCGCAATAATGAGGCCTTGGAACTAGGCAACTAGGCAGGCAACTATTGACCAATTTTTCCCCTGCTCCTCTGGTTTCAGGACGGAAAAACGTTCTGCGCAAGCTTCTGCGCATCCCTTGTCGCAGGCTCAAGGCGGGCTTTTCTGTGTGTTGACTGTGTTTGTTGCTGGAGTTCTGAGTGAAAAGCACGAGGTGAGAACGTTTGCTCCCTGTAAAGCATTTTTATCTGACATGTTTGCTTTTTTTTCGTCGCTTGAAAATTACTTTGGATTCAGAACAACCAATGTTAAAGGGAAAACGGATCATTCCGTCAGTCTGAGGTTTTGAACATTTCTTAAGAGGCGAGTATTTTCTGATTGTGCATCCGATTAATTTATGAGTTGATTTCGCTGGGTTCAATTAAAACCTGCTTGTATTCTGTTATTAGTAGTTACGGTTACTTTTTTTACATCCCCAGATTTATTACCTTTGCAGAATCAGCTTTATTTTTGTCTTCAGTCAAAGAACCATATTCCTGTTATAACGCATCAGAGTGAACAAACTTGTGCGCTCAATTAAACTTTCTCGGAAATAGAAGGCCA